TTTGTGTACTTGATCCTTGCAGCAAGAAGGGACCAGATTCCCTTCTTGAGAGCGGAGGTCGGTTCATACCCCATGTCGGACTTTGGGGCATCGAGGCTCCTTTTCGTTCATTGGTAGGAAGAAGCACTGGCCAATGTCTGCCCGAACAGCCGAAAAGAATAAACAAGGCACGAAAGAGAGTGAGATTGGCATTCAAACTGAGTGCTCATAGTGCCCGTCTTGGTATTGCGTCATGGTCTTCTGGAAACGATGGTTGTCACAACGATGGTTGTCACCTAGTGTTCGTGGTATCATTTTCACGGAGTTCCCTCAGAATCCCTCAGACAGCACCAAATCTTCGGACCCAAGTGCTGTAACGACGCTTTTGGGGGGCCCTTGCAGCAAAGGCCTTTGACCATTCGGGCCCTAAGCCCTGAACTTCTTCTTCCAAGCTTCCCGGCAAGATCCAGCTTGCACGCCCGATTCGTCATGCAGTTGGTATGGTGCATGTGATAGGTCACGTTATCCAAGCTGGTGATCGTCAGGAACTCTGGGACAGCCTGCCTGCCACAGGGTTGCTAGAAGCCATGAACAGCCAAGTAACCGGCATCGTCCTGAATTTACTTTATTATGGTATAACACACCCCCACACCCCAAATACAGTATTTCGTCTCTTATGTTTACAACCATTGAAAGGTAGGTCGGTTTACTCTGCAGGGGTCCGCATTAAGCCCGTGTTTCAGGATGCATAACAACGCTACATTTCTTCAGCCGCAGTGACTGGACACCAAACTCGACACCTGTTGCTCAGCCCACTGACATCCAATCCCGGCATCTCAGAAGCCTAAATGGGAGTTTCCGAAAATAGGGGATCCTACTATAGTACCCTGAATAGTAGGATCCTTATCATAAGGGACCCCAAAATAAGGTACCCCTCATTTTCGGAACCTCCCACATCTGCAATTAGCAACCTTGCAGCTCAGGGCGCCCTTTCATCAGCTTCTCCGGGTCCTTGACGGCAGTTTCCCTGTCGACTTGCTCCATGAAATAGCAGTGCATGTGTTCCTTCACGGCAGTTGCAGCTCTGAGCAGGGGGCAATGACCCTAGCTTTGTGGCGTGGCTTCGAGCCATTCACGACTTCGACCCACTTTGAACTTTGAATATCTTTCAAGTTGAGTTCGTAAACTGGGCCTCCGAGAAGAGGTGAATATGTGGCTTAAGGACTTTCCAAAGGAACAGCCACCGCTGAGTACATTAGGGTTGAGAGTTTCGGGGGTCTGTCTTCCCTCGGCGACTTCCATGAGTATGATAGGGAAAACTCTAAACATAAAATTCCTCAGAGACTCTTCCTAGGTGGGATGACGTAAGGCAAAGACCTAAACCTGCAAGCGATGAACCTTCTCGTTCTTGTTCAGCTCTTCTTGGAGCCAGTTGCCGCTGTAAACATGCTCCTGAAGAACAATCCTGAGTTGCACGATCCTACTTCTCAAATAACCCTGACAGCAATGCAAGCAAGTACTAGTAGAACTCAGACGTAAAGGGGTGATGATGGATGGAGATGATTAAGGAGTAAAAGGACGATGCCGCCTGTGCTGTGAATGTCACGCTCACGCTCTTTCGACTGCATGTGGCGACAGCAGAGGGGAGTTCTGGAACCGAAGCCTGAGACGAACTCTTTCAATGTGGGCGGCATGTCGGCAACAAGGTCGCGATGATGACGACGACAATGTAACCATAAAGGGGGCATGAACACGAGGATGATGACGACGGTGATGAGGACGAGGTGGTACCATGTGATAGCAGTCTGAGGACGAAATGGCAAAAGGCAAGGGCACGCTTATGCATGATGGCGAAACCGAGAACCAGGATGATGATGACCAGTATGTGGGTGCTGTTGATGCACATGTTGACGATAGTTTATATTTTTGAGTAAGATGGTGAAGACGGAGGATGCAAGCCGCTTTGATGATGAGAATGATAGCTGAGATGAGTGGGGCGACCAGGAGTAGTACCAAGTGAACGAGAGCTTGCGAAGGAGCCGGGGGAGGAGACGAAGATTCTCGAATGTCAAATTCTTTCGCGGCAGCCGTTGTCGTAACGGTGCGACTCTTTCGGGCAAAAGACATGACAACGAGCCACAAACTATACACCTTTCAGCTTCTTCCCAAAAGTGCAGTAGAAAAAGCAGCTCTAGAACCCTACAGATATTAGAATCCCTAACCAAGGATCTGAGACACAAAGAGGAAGCCTCCCAGCACAAAAAGGCCCAAAGGGCGCAGAATGAAGCCCATGGCCTCGGCTAAGGGCTTCGGGCCAAGAAAACTCCGTTGTTTGCTTTTTCCAAATCACCCAAACATGAGGATCTGTCGATCTATCTGTCTATGTGTCTGATAGGTCTGTATCTGTATAAACAAATGTATATATATATATATATATATATATATATACACATGTGTATATATATACATATATATATATATGTAGATATGTATATATTCAGGTACATGCTTGCGTGCATGCATACTTGCATGTATGCCTGAATACATACATACATACATACATACATACATACATGCATGCATACATACATACATCATACAAGAATTCTCTAGGTTAAGGTCCCTGTTTAGGTACCAGAAGAACAGTACGGCATTCTTATAAGAAGGACCCCAAAACGGACCCTCATTCAGAGAACTACCATGTAATGTGTCTCCATTTTCCACCGATTGAAGCAATCTCAGCGACTGAGATCTATACAGGAAGCTCCATGCAGATGCGCTAAGCAGTCCAAGGAGACTCAGGCAATGTGCGTTACAGACGGTGGCCGAAAAGTCTTGAATCTAATTATTTAACTAAGTAAAAGATTATTCCATTAGTACTGTTTTTTAAATTAATTCAAAGTAGAAGTAATCCCCAAGTCTTCAAAACCACATGGCACACATCGAACCAGGCCGCGTCTGTCACAAATGCACATTGCAAATTCAGGCCAAACATGGCCACAGGAGGAGCGACCACATTCAGTAGCCTGGCCAACCACGGACGAAGACTCTGAAGAACTCTGCACCTACAGGCTTTTCACCCGAAGTAGAAGCCCAAGCCCCATTCAGTGCTTAGGGTGCGAGATCTCCCATCGCTTCTTCAGGCTCAGCCAGCTCTGTCAGTCGACTCCCAGAAACGGAAATTCAAACTGTTTGAAGCAGGTGCTGCCAAGACTCTGCCTCTACAGAATCGAGCTGAAAGCTCTGAGATACTCGGAAGGCGGTGTTCGCCAAGTCTTGAAACAGGGCAATTGAAATGGTCGCATGAACAGCAGTAAGCAACCTGCCTCCACCGATGATTTTGGATCGCTACATGGATCCTTGCACCTAGCCAAGCAATCCATCTTTAAGCTTGCCTTCTCCTCGCATATCTCAAGAAGCAAAAGCTGTTGCTGATCTGCGGCTGCCTTCGAAAGCATGTCTTGAAAAATGTTGATCGCCGATTTCTGAGCTGGCTTCTTTCGTTACTCCACATCAATGCAGGTAGCAGTGAAGCAAACGGAACTTTCACGAGAGATGCCGGCCAATGTGAGGCTTCCAAGTATGGCAAGAGCGCAGTACAAGTCACCATGGTGAACTGTTAGCACTGCAACTAGGTCGTCTGAACCGTCGCAGGGTAATATGTCTTGCTATCATAGTCTCATCTGACGGGCGGGTGGTCAAAGTACATTCGAAACAGCCCAAACAAGCTACAAGACGCGAAGCTTGCACAACTTGAAAGCCAAAGAGACAGATGACTGGTGGCATAACCAGAACCATCGCTCAAGTGTGCGCACCTGTACTTCCCAATTCGGTGGGCTGTCGCCATGTTAATGTAGAATCTTGAATAGCTGGTGATAATAGATGTTAAGGCTCTGCACAGATTTACCAAACATGTGATAAACAAAGCACCTTGTTTTCACAACTAAAGCATTACGGGCCCTCCACCAAAATCAACTAAACGAAGATCCGCACAGTCTTTCTTGTTACAGTGCCTGGCGCCAACAGGAGCTAGTTCATTACTTAATCTTAGACTATTTGGGTACTTGGACCCTTACGGACTGTTGTGCTTATGCTTGCAATCCTAGACTTAGATGCTCGACATTGACAAAACCGCTACTGATTTGGAGTTGCGGCATGCCGGTCGTACACGGCATGAAGGCGAACAACCACTCACAAACAGAGCATTGAGCGCTGAGCCGTTTGCAGACACGCTCGCGGCTCTAGTAGATGCAACAGCCTTATAACGAAATGCATCACAGTGTTAAATTCTGGACAGTGTTAAGCTACGGCCGATTGAAAGAACCCCAGGTGGTCGCGAATCTGATAAGGAAGCGGCTGATTATACTGATGAGTGCTCCCCTCCCGCATTTATTGCTTGTGTCGCCGAGTAGCTTGATTCAAGCAATGCCAGGCTAGTCTCGGCCCGAAGGATTTGGAATTCGTCACTTCAAAGAGTTCGCACGGCACAGGGGCTCCCCTTCTCACTCGCCTTGACGTCGTAGGGTGTGGCATTGAGCATCTCGGCCTCCTCCGTGCGCTCCTCCACAACCATCCCCTCGACGGCCTCGGTCTTCTCCTTCAGGTCGGGCTCGTTCGAAACCTCGGTCTCCTTTGCGGTTGCGGCGTCGTGGTCATCCACATGCTTACTGTCATCACGCTGCTGGGAGGCATGGGCAGCTGCAAAATCCTTGGTGCCACCAGAAGTTCCTGGTGGACGAACCTGAAGTTTCATGGCCATGTCCACCATGAGCCTGTCCATCTCGTCGAACTTGGCTTGCGTCATCCGTGTCAACTTCCCGACTGCGCTGTCGTCCACCGCCTCCTCAAGCGAAGGTCAAGGCAATGCTGGATTAGCAAGGCCTCCATAGCGCTGAACACGATCGAGCAAGACCTTAGGATATTGCAAGTATTCGTAGGGGTCCTCCGTTGTGGGTACCGCACCACGAGGACCGTTGTCACCTTCATCCAGCTCGCAGGCTTCCTCCATCGCTTCTTGCAGATCAACGGCATCGATGTCTCGTAGAGATGCCACGGGTCAACCGGGCATTGCCCCGCGCATCGCGGAAGATTTCGTTGTAGCGCTGGCACAGCTGTGCCACCATCAGGTTCATCAGGTACACGTGCCAGCACGCGGCAAAGCCCATGACGAACCATTTCAGCAGAGGCTCATTTTCCTCCGCAATCTCCTCGTAGTTCTCGCTGCCATAGCTGTTGAAGGCCATTGACAACATAGACTCGAAAGCCAAGGGCCAGCTGAAAAAGTCGCGCATCTGAATGGAATCACTGCCCAGGGACTGCGGCAAACAGGCGACAGCCGAAGCAAAGGCAGCAGTGAAGAAGATCAGGACAGCCACGTACAAGACGAACTCCCACATCAGGCAAGAGCATATCACACTGAAGACCGACATGTGCACATTCAAGTGGACCAGCTCTGATGCGAGTACAAAGTACAACAGCATCGGGAAGGCTGCCAGGCGACTGTAGGAGTGAATGAGGTTGCATTGCCATTCACCGTACTCGCAGCAATTTGTAAGAAGCTCGCTGCTGACTGCAAGGCAGTGGAGAACTGGCTCACAGCACAAGAGGCACATCAGCAAGAGCACAAGGATCGCTTCTATTAGCTCCTGGCGGGTCTGCAACATGTACTTCGGAATGGGCAAGCAACACAGGCGTGTAAGTTGCTTCTGGCGAACTGCCCTATAGGTCTGGTACGCGTGCTTGGCGAACAGCTGCCCAAGGCTGCCAACGTACACGAATGCCCGGCAAAATATCACCGAGAGTCGATCCGGACTCAGGGGGTCGCTCGAAAAGACAGCTTGCCTCAGCAGACCCCCCTTCAAACTACATCCTCGAGGCTGTCGCGAGTTTAAACGCATCCAACATACCATGTCCAAGAGCCCTACAGCCCTGAACCCCACAAGCGCAAGTTTGTCAAAATCCCGGCTCAGGCGCTGCTCCGCCATGACATACACAAAGAGTGTGAGGCAGAACCAGAATTTGGTCATGGCCCATGGAAATAAACAGAGCCGTGTCCAAAGGAGGTCGGCTTGGAAGACTACCGTGGGGTGGCAGATGATCTCGGGGTCACCTGGTGTGTTTCTACTAGGCTGTTCTAGAAAAACCGCGTTTTATGTCGAAAAAGCGCCCTTTATATGTTTGTTGGAACCGGAGTCATTCATCAATGAAGCGCAGAAGTTCTTAGAGCATTCATCAATGAAGCGCAGAAGTTCTTAGAGCCGGTGCAGTTTCCTCCAAGAACCCAAAGCAGTCGTGAGAGATCTGCGGGTTCGGTATTCTAAGGCTCCTCAACCATCCCTTCAAGTAAATTTTGAACAGCTCACCGTGCTTGATCAAGTCCAACAGGGAGTCGGTGAGCAGTCCATCTTCACCCCTGAGCAAGGAAGCGATATAGTAGTTGGCACGTCACACGCCATTCTTCACGTTCTTGGAGCGCCAAATGAGCCCGTCGAAGAGTGTGGGCAGAAGCGATGGGGCCTTGGTGCAGAGAAGGGTGATGATGTCGTTATGGCGCGTGAACAGCATTTCCATGCCATAGTAATACCGCGCACGGTCTGCACGCATGGTGAGCAAGTCGTTGAGGATCTCCTTGGCTGACTCGAGTGCCCCCTTCTCAATAGCCCATATCAAAGGAGACATTGATTCCGTGCCGACTTGGACCGTAAGCAGGATCACCTCGCGCTGTCCACGTGGATAATTCGCGACAGCGGTCTTCATGGCCTTAGAAGTGTTCCTGTTGATGGCGATGATCACTGGGGTAGAGCCCTCGGCCAAAGTTCGGATGAAGATCCTGCCGATTAGATCCAGGGTCCACCAAAGCCCATCATGAAGAGACCCATCCGGACAGTTCTCCTTGATACCGCCTATGAACGCCTGAACAAAGGGACGCACCAAATCTTCGGGTACCCCATGTCCTGCGTGCAAAAGGCCCAAAGCAGACAGCGCAATGACGGCCTGGTGCGTCTTGGTGTAGATGTCTGACCTGGGCTTGTCACCAGACTACGATCTACGTACTGCCGCCTATAACATTATCATGAATCAAGGCCGGCCCTCTAAAAGATTGAAATTCGCACCAACAACACATTTCCAAGAAGGGCCCGTTGACATGATCGTGAGGATCCGCCCCATGATGTACATCAAGCGCTTGTTGGCTGCTCGCAAGTACAGCTGCGACTCCTCACAGTTGGCGAAGAAAGTATCAAAGACCTTGAGCTTGAAGTCTGCAAGGGTCTCCTCATGAGAAATCTTGTGGGTCAGTGCTTGTTGCGCTCCTTTTCGGGTTTAGGGTTTAGTGTAGGTTAGGGTTTAGGACTTGGCTTTTTGGCGGTAGTTCGAGCTTGCCATGCTTTTTTAGTCTGGTATGAGTTTTCGAGTTTGGGATTTGGGGTGTCTGGCATCGCGTTTTTTATTGTTAACAGCGGAAAGCACGCAATCCTTTTTGTACTTGAGCCAACGACAGTAGCGTAGGTAATGACTGTGACATAGATATGAATGCTGTAAAAACACCCCCCGCGCATTGAAGCGCAGCGGAGGAGGCGTACAAAAGAAACTACGCTAAGTCATGGCGACACTCGCTTTGCGAGGTCTTGAAAGAACTCTGTGATGCTAGCTCAAATCACTCCACTAAGCGGGTCAGCAAACCAACCCGTCAGGGCGGTGATGCACGGGCGTGCCGATGCGAAGGCTGGTGTGGATGAACCAGCACGTCAGTGCGGTGAGCTGCAGAAAAACGAAATTTAAACTGAGTCGCTGTTGCGTGCGACTTCATGCATCTCTCGACACGGTGCCCTCAGGACGCGGAGCACCTTCCGGTGTCGGATGCGACGGACTAGTATGCCCTGTACCATGCTCCATTGGAGTCTTGGCGGAACTCCTCCCAGCCACGCAGGAACCAGGTAATCTGCTCAACCGGATGCTGAACCAAGAAATCACAAAAGGCACTTCATTGGGCGACAGCTCCTCAAGATAGCGGGCACGGAGGACTCCCCAATACCAAGCATCTGTGCGAGTGCAATTGCGAGGCATTGGTTGGGTTGGATCGAATCCGTTCCCATCCTGGTCAGTCCAGTTCCTCAAGCGATCAGCTGGGAAGCCTGGGAGAGTGACCGTCAGGTTCTCGAGCTGCTGTTCGATTGCCTCATCACACAGGCGCAGGTGACGCAACCTGTCGTTAGCGGCCTCTTGATAATCTCGACCCCCACCATAGTCATGGCGGCGTGGTGAGCGAGTGCGAGCACGCCCTCCGGCGGCTGTGGCAGGTGGCCCTGCAGGGGCAGCAACCGGGGCCGGTGCATTACCAACAGCAAAGCCTCTAACTTCGCCACGGCCGGCAAAGTAGTTATCCCACTCATCTGCAGTGATGTATTCCTCAGGTGCACGAACGGCGTCAGCCTTCGGAACAGCTTTTGCAGTAGGTGGGTAAGGCGGCTGCACTGGTCTGTTGGCACTTGGCTTTGGAGGAGGCGGCGTAATGCTTCGGGCAGATGACGGCCTCGCCTTCGACTTTGCAGCTTTTGGGACAGAAGTGCTCATTGGACGATCCGTGGATGACGAAGCTGCACCGCCAGGTGAGCGACCTCGGCTTGGAGGAGCCGGTGGAGGCCGAACACTGGGTGTTGCTGCAGGCAGCGACGAGTCAGGACCAGTCCTTCCGGATGGTGTCGGCGGTGGTGGCGGCACACGCATGGCGCCAATGGGAGTGGCACCGTGCCGGACCATTCGGTCCTCCACCTCACGATTAATCCAACCGCGGGTACGCTCAACACTGAACCGCGTACCGCCAAGAAGCTCAAGCATCTGTGACCTGCCCATAGTTCCTAGCGATGCTGGAATCTCCAAGGGAGTCTGCCCGATTCCGACTTGCACAGTAACCCGTTGCTGGTTACGCTCTTTGTTGGTGAGAGCATGATGTGCGTTGTTGCGGAGCAAACCGACGAGGTCGGCCATAATCTCAGGGACAGTCCCGGTCACGGGCTGGTACTCGACGCCGTCATGGCGGAGGATTGTGAAAGGACGCAGATTGCGAACCTCAGAGGCCAACTGAGTGGCGCGGATCAACACAGCAATTTCAGGGACCAAGTAAAAGCGGTCTTGGAAACAGAAATAGCAGCGCTTGGCCAGCTCAAGAAAGATGTTCCTCTGGTAATTGTACTCCCCGCGAATAATGTCGTCGACGGGAGGGAAAATGAGGGCAGTGCGTGCATCGGACGTGTGAGATCCGGCAAAGCCTCTCTTTGCCTCCGTCCCCGTTCCCGGGGCGAGAAGTCGCAAGCGCGCGAACATCTCGACTTCGTCGAGTGAAGTCACCGTCATCCCCTTCGAAAACACATTGAAGGCGCTGAAGGGTTCGTACTTCAGGTTCTGGCGCAGGGAACCATGTGTCCCTTCTGCTGCTTTCGCCACCATTTTCTTGCACTTCTCCTTGAGTGTCGCAGCGATGCTTTTCTTAACATCGGCCCCCTGACGGGTGTGCTCGTGTGGACGAGTGTTGATAGCTGCTCTTGGTGCCAGATAGTGGAGACTGTGGTTAGCTCCACCTTGCGCGGCTTCCGCCCGCAGATCAGCCAGCTCCGCAATGTGGGAGATGTCGCTCGGGTTGAACAACTTTCGCTGGCAGCGGGGGCAATTAAGATAGCCGTCAAGCATCTGAGACCTGCACCTATCATCAGGGCAGCGCAGCTTTGGGAAGTGCACGTTGAGGCACACTGAGTAGTGCTTGCGCTCCACACGCAACGGGCGCTCGGTGGTCAGCCCGATGGGCGAGAAGTAGACCTGGGCATCCAAAGTCCATTCGCACGGAGTTCCCTCCAGCGGACTACCCTGCTCAAAGCAGATGGTACGACCATCGACATGAAACTGCTCAACCTCACGCGAGTGCGAGGGCTTCTGCATGTCCATGAACATACCCAAGAACTCAACCCAGTCCAAATTTTCATTGTGGATCGGGTAACAGAGATCAACGTAATCCATGATGCAATTGGCGTCAGCTTCCGCTGCGCGTTCGATGAGGTCTTGGTTGAAGACCGGCAGGATCTCCTGACGCTTGACATATGCATCACGGGCTTTGGACACCCGAGCTCGCGTGAGCTCGTACGAGCGGTTAAACCATACGGGTTTCCCGGTTCTGCGATCGTAAGCAAACATAAGGTAGCGATTGGACAACCAATCGGGGGCCTGCAGAACATTGTTCTTTGTCAGGAGAATGCGACACCCTTCCAGGCACGCGAGTTGAAGGTCGATAGCGAATTCAACCTCAGCGCCAGGTCGCAGGCCTGCGTTGTTCGGCCTTTCCCACTGAGGGAGGGAAGCCATCATAGTGAAGGCTCTCCCCGTGCTTCCGCCGAGGGTGACACCGCCTGGGATGAGACCGGTACTTACGATATTGGAAAAATTGCTCCAATAGGTCGCATGGTACCCGATCGGATGCATTCTGACCCAGTCGTTGTGGATTTGGCCAGTGACACCCACGGCAGGGCGCGTATGCATGGTGGGCCTGTAGTCACTGTAGTCGTCACACAAAGCATAGCTGTCACTGTGCATATCCACAAGATCAGTCTCGTCAGAGATGAGATCGCGGCAGTGCCCTTGGAACGCACGGATTCCATGAATCTCAGTGTGGTCGATGAAGTGGAGGACGCGCAACTCAAAGCGTCCATTGTCATCTTTGTCGTGGTTCCCATATTTCACCACTTCCATGACGTCTTCCGACCGGAGACCGCGCCACTGTTTGCCCAATTGCTCTTTGAAGTGATCCCATTCGACCTCCCGTGTTGCGGGGTCGAAGGTCATCATGGGCGGTGGCCGCCTTTGTGCCTGTGACTCTGCACTATTCGCGAAGCCGCGAAGGAAAAAGCTCATGGCATTGCTCAATGCTCGCCGCTTGCCATCTGTCATGTAGCGATGGCTTGGGGCAAAATCGGGGATGTCTTCATAGCCCCACCACTCAAAGAATGGCTCGAAGTCAACAGCAGCGTCTTCCGACGGCTGAGCGGCGTCATCAGGATCCAGGTCCATAACGACATCCTCTTCGTCGTCGGTCTCGACTGGCTCCGAGATTCTCCTGTGCTTGGCAGGATCGGGTTTCGACTTGGGCGTCGACCCGACTTTGCGAAGAGCCTGCGAATACCTGACTGTGCCTTTCGGGAGTCTGCGGTCATCTTCCAATGCCGGAACCTCAGGGGGTTCGTCCCACACCGTGGGGATGCCGTCAGTGGCCTCCTTCTCGATGGCGTCTCCGTCAGGGATAAGCACATTTGTGGTGTTGATGACATCACGTGCCACCGTAAAGGCAAAGTCCTCTTAATTGCGCCTCAGGATCGATGGCGACAAGGTCGAGGGGCAGCTCTGACCCAACATCACGGCTGAATAGAACGTGTTCAACCTGGGTCACCTCTTCAGAGCCTTCCGGCTTGAGATCGATATCATCGACCGGCTCAGGCATCATCATCAGAAGAGGGTGATCGAGAACGATCTGCTCATCCTCTTCCCTGGCTTCCGCCGGGAGCTCGGGTGCGTGGCAGGCGGCACCGTGAGCGTCTTCTTGGCCTTCCCAAGCTCGAAGTGATTGCGGAACACAATACTTCTCTGATTGGCGACGAACTCAGCCTTCCGGCGAGTGATGATTCGGTCGGTGGAAACGGCTCTGATGAGAGCATGCCACCACTGCAAGGATGCAGTCACATTCGGGTCTGTGACCTCGATGTGGAACCCGTCAGGACGCGTGGTCCTCATCAGGAGGCTTGATGGATCAACGACGCTAATGCCTGCGCTCAGCAACTGCCGGGCGTACTTGCCCATCTCTTCATCATACTCGCTGGGCAGGTTGTAAAAACGACCGTTGTCATCTCCCAAGAGAACCGTCAGGCCTCTGACACGAGTGTGCTTCCGCAGCTCGATGAGGCGGCGGACGCTCTCTCGACCATCAGCCGCTGCTTTGCGGGCCAATGTTCGATCTCGTCCAGCTCACGCTGCGGCCTCTTGACCCACTGGCTTGTCAAGTGCCAAGTGTAGCCAAGGTAACCATAGTTACCATACACATCGTTGCCGGCCCAGGAAACCACAAGCTCTACCCCTTCCGGGGGAGCGGAGGCAAGGTGAGTCTCAATCACATCGATGATCTTGTCGAGACCTTTGCCCCACTCCATCAGGCATGTGACTTCCCCGAACTCTGGGTTCGCGCGGACTATGTCCTGCATCATCGGGAAGATAGTGGTTTTCTTCACACACCGTTTTCCTTGCATCCAGCACAATGCCAAGGATGAGTCCCCGGCCACAAGAATGTCGGTGCCGTCGAAACCACCAACTTCCGCCGTGGGGGGCGCGGAAATCCTGCCCAAGGCTGGGCTGTAGAGCCCGTCCAAGAGAGCTGAGCTCGCAGGAAACAGTGGGAAGGTACCGCTACCCTCTGAAAGAATGTGGACCCTATGGCAAATGTCATACATTGCCGTCTTATTGATGGCATTCTCGAAGTTAACACCCCATTCGAGGATACCCAAATCCTTAATGTGCTGAAGGATGAGGGCTGACCATCCCGTCAGGGAGGTGTTGCGTTGGTCCTGCATGTACGGGTTGCCCTGGCGGCAAGCATAGTGACGGAACCAGGCTTCGTACAGTGCAGTCCAGGGCGCATTCGGCGCATGCACACGCATGTCGCGCCATTCCTTCACCGTCATGATTCCAAGGAACATTTCATCACCGTCGGCGTCAGCCCCGGGTTCATCAAACACCTCAGCAAGGTCGGCATGCCGAGCAAGGTGGGTGATTCCGGCCATGGCGTCAGCCAGGCGATCGGCACTCTTGAGTGCGGCACGATACGCCTGAATGCGTTCCTCACGATCAGCCGTTGCATACTGCAACTCCTCAGCAGTCTGCACACCCTCCCGGGCTGCGGTTCCCTGTGCAAGAGCGTCACGGGTGCTCTGGGCAGAGGACATGTTCGCAATGGGAAGGAGCGAAAGAGAGGACGTTGGGGATGCTTGAATCTTGAGCGCAACAGCTACAACGTGAGTCTGATTTCTCTCTGACTTGTGGGATTCATGATCATCAAAAACACGACTAAGGATCGCAGTAAGGGTGCCTTTGAAGTAGTGTTGGGACTCTGATTTCTTGGCACTATCCTTCAATCCTCGTCTCAGGAATTCAACAAGATGCTTCGTGTTGGAGGCTAACGTGTAGTGGGCAGTGACTTCAGGCTTAAAGTCAGCAGCTTCAACCATCGGCTTAAGGTGAGTTTTGCTAAAACCATAGCCATCAAGTATCCTCTTGACACGCTGCCATCCCCAGAACACGCTGTCCCTGGGCCACGTAATGATGAACCTCGCTTTGTACTTCTTAAGAGCATCGGCGATGTCAACAAATGAAGCCCAAGTCTTGGAGAACATGATGCTATTGAGCTCGTCCTGATCCTTGTCTGTACCCCCCGGATTCCGTTGATGGAACCAAAGAAGTACAGAGGCGCCAGCCCTGTGGTAATCCCGGGCTAACTGGATGATTGCCTTCCTAGTCTCAGGAGGATCAAGCTCACTAGAATTTCTGATCTTAACAACCTTCGTATCGGGGCTATACCTTATATCAACGTCACAAGCAGAATGAGTTCCCTGCGAACAATCCACAACGAACACAATCCTTTTGTATGCGGCTTCGGGCCTCGGCGTCTGCCGGGCGATCGAATCGCTGGTGGCCGCTGCCGATTTCCTTGCAGGCAGCTTGTGCGGTGCCACACACATCAATTGCAGTGCTCTATTCCACTTCTCAGCACTAGTGAATGGTTTTGTGAGGACATCCGCAGCTTGGAGCAAGGTGTTGATATAAGCAAGTTCATAATGCTTTCGTTTGAACTGCTCTGAGATCCAGCCTAGATTGAGGCGTTGGGTCTTATCAGCATGCCTGAAAGCGGGAGACTTACCTGACTCAAGAATGCGAATCGTGGCCTGGTTATCTTCAAGAACAACAGGCTGAACAGAGTGAGGGACCGACACGATCAACCCTATATCGGTATCATTCTTAGTGGGTGCATTGTCATAGTCACCCCCCGTGTTCCTGATGCCATCGGTCTCAGGATGCAGGTATGCCTCTGCTTCCGCATGGCGGCGATAGTCCCGGACTGATCTACGATATACGCAGATGCCCGCTTCATATTCCTTTTCAAGGATCTCATCAAGCATGTCCCTTTCTTCCCAAGCAACATCTGATTGGTACGCAAACCACTTACCTTTCTCAAGAAGCCAAACGTTACGAATGGGGTGCGAAGTGAGATTATCGGGTGGTGGAATCACCTTAATCTTATTGTACACATCCAGCACACGCCCATCGTCAAGCTCTTGAAGGCCGGTGAAAGTGATCTTTCCAAACTCGGGCAAGGGAGTGGTTTTAGGAACAAAAGGTTTGGACTCTCTCGTCAGAGGAGTGGGCGATTTCGTTGCAGTATCCCCCCCCGCGTTCAGGAGCACACTCCAAAGTGCGGATGAAGGAAGGCCTAAGGCTCTCAATGCAACGTTAGCACACACAACCTCTGCTTCAGTGGAACTGAGTGCAGTGCTCGTTTGTTTCTTGCTAAATGCGGCAAGAGGGTAGTAGGTGTTTGGACCAACAAGTACCAGGATTCCTCCGGACGTAGATTTGTTGTCGTGCTCACCAGCATGGTCGCTGTCAGCGAACAACCAAAGCTTGCATTCAGAAGGCTTATCTCCTATGAAACACTTCATTGTGTAATGCTTGGTGCTGTTCACGTAGCACATAAGCCTATGCAAAGCCTTATCACAGTCGGAAGACCACTTGGTGACCCTACTAGCCAACCCCTGAACGGCTCGAAGCAGATCGTATCTGGCCATTCTTGCTGCAAAGAGCAACTTCATGAGGACTCGACTGGCGATAGGAGCCAGCTTGCCTTTCGCTTCGGCCTCAGTTTCCATTGGGCGAGCGATTTTATCATCGTAAAAGGGTGTGCTGACCTTCTTGAGGTTATGGTACTCAGGACCAGCAAGTTGCTTGTACTTGTCTATGGCTTGTTGCAGAAAGGACGACATGTCATAGATGACCTCACGAACTTTCTTGTACATGCAACCTTGATTGTCACCCAATTGGTTGATATCATAGAACGCTTGTTTCTTAGCTTCCTTCTTGGCTTCATTCTTATCCCTGACGCGTTGCACAGCGGCCATAGCACTGGCGCGATCATGGGAACCAGAACAAATATAAGTGGTACCTGTCCACAGCTCCCCCCGCTTTGCGCGGTTACCGTTATCATCCCACAATTCGTGAACGACATCGGGTTTCCCAACATCAGTGAGATGGGTACACCTGTGATGCCCCAGCCCATAAGCTGAAGCTTCCGCTTCGCGGGGTTTGATAAAGAGCTTTGCGAGGCTGACAATGATGTCGAACCATTACACCTTCTTCAGGGTACGATTCAGTGTAATCTTCTTTAGCTGCAACACTAGCAGGCTTCGCCGCCGGATCGGGAACGGTCTTGTCAAAGACGTGAGCGAAAGGATGGTCGGCCTTCCTGAGGGTGGAAGTGTTGGTGATGTGATCACAACCCAGATATCTTCCGACCGGGGTAGGCGTATCCATATCGATCTTAGACCCGATAAGTTCCCATCCACGGGCCATGTTCTCTTTGGGGCCCGCCATCTTGAAATCATCAACATAAACGGCGAGAAGCAGCTTCAATTTAGGATGAAAGAACACTGAGGGCCATGCTGCTGAAAACACAAGCTGGAACCCTACCTGCTTCAGCATGCGCTCGCAATGCTGCTCCCAGAAGCCTCCACTGTCAGGGTGGCCATACAGTGCAAGGTGAAGGCGGACAACAGGATCCTTGTATTTGCCAATCCACTCCTTAGGGCATCTATCTCTGGGAAGACGAACCCAAGTGTCAGCACCCTTCAAGGTGGTTTGGGTGTAGGCCTGTTTCCCATCGGCCTGTTGACACTCATTTCCAGGAGTGTGACCATAGGCATCAAGGGCCTTTCCTGCTTCCATGGTTGCGGGGCTGGACCCCAATTCAGAGAACAGTGCGGAATCGGAATTTTCATCGCGCACATTATTACCCTGAAAAACCGTCCTCCCCTTGAACTTCCTCAAAGGATCATTAGCAGGCAATTCACTTCCCTTTTCCACGCAAATTTCGAACACCTTCCCCACATGGGCCTTCTTACCCTTTTTCTTAGCTTCTTTAGAAACCTCTTCCCATTCCCGAACAGAAGCCATGTGCCAAGCCTTCTTCTGCATGAGTTTGTTCCACTCAACATCTAACGCAGCTTGGGCCTTGGGATTGCTAAGAATCTCCTTTCTGCCCACCGGTCTGGCAACCATAGCCATAAGCTCATTGATCTCTTCGAGCGACGTGGGGCAGTTAGGCAAACTCTTTTCTCTATGCTCAGGACTTCCGTCGAGCGATACTGGCATCGCGGGAAACTCAGGGCGTGACCCGCTGACCTCGCCAGAGGCAGGAACTTGTGGGGTGATAGTAAACTCGGTTTTACCGATCCACTTGAACGATGTTTTCTTATTACGCCTCCGAACGTTGCGCCAATCGTCCTGATCGTTGACGATATCAACGCCACCGACTGGGAAGATAACCGAATTGCGGACCTTGCCAATTTGCTTAAGGTCAACCGGGCAATCGGTGAGATCAGGTGAGAAGAGCTCCCTAGTGAGTTTGTTCCCCTCTATCTTCCAACAGTCTTTATCAGGCAATGCGGCGGCAGAAGGCTTAGCACTACTGCTTGCTGAGCCACCAACTTCTTCGTCAAGCTCTGCAAGAGCAATCTTTCGTGCTTCATCATCAATGGCTTTCTCTTTCTGTCTCTTGGACAAGTTAACCCAGATAGAACTAGGTTTGGAATCAGGTTTCTTGGATCCCCTTGTCCCCCCGTATCTTCGGCCAATCACACCACCTGAATCATAGAACCTTTCACCTTCCGGTAAAGGAACAATCTTGCCCGTTTTGGGATCGATGACTTCAGGGGGCTTGACCGCCAGGTCAGCGATAGGAGGAGCGGCATCATCGCCAACTTGCTCATCCTGTGCTTCGGCATCCTGGTTTTCGAGAGATTGGGACACAGGGCCCTCAACGGCCTCGGACGAGAATCCAGCCTGAATGCGCTCGTACCTCTCCTTCACAGGAAACGTGAAGTCTCCCCCCGGAACCTTGAACTGGTAGGCACTGATGGGGTTCAGGCACTCATGAAAATCGTTACGGTTCAGTTCCTTCAAAGGTAACACCACGATTTCTTTGCGCCATTTCATCCCAGGTTGAAACCTATAACCAAGGAAAACACCAGGTTCGGAGGTAGGAGCGAAACGTTCTCGGTTCTTGCGAGTAGGTTTGGGACCAACCCAGTAATCGATTCTACACCCAAACGGAATAAGCTCTCCCGGGAACTTATCACCGAATCTTTTGAACCAGGGCGTGTACTTCACCTCATGCACATGACTGATGTTGAATGCGGTGCACGAGTGCTCCAACGCATAAGGCCAATACACATGCGAGACGCCAGTCTGCAGAAGGTTGGTTCGAGTGCCTTCGGTCACTGACCGGACTTGCCTTTCGGCAATCGCATTTGACTGATGCAAGTAGGCCTTAGACTTCTCATGACGCCATTTCATAGTTTTTGCAGCAGTCTTGAGTTCTGGAGCGCGATCACTGTAGAAATTCTTCACTTCATCCTTTGGAGACGTGAAGTGCTGAAGTGCAACAGTGCATTCTTCAGCTGACTTGAGAGCTGAGGGGTAGGCATAGCAAAAGCCTGTTGCAACGTCCTTAATCACCAGCGCCAGCCGGGAGTCCTCTATGATGGTGTCCTTGTCCCGATAGAGCACGATGTGGTCTGCTGTAACATGGTCACCAAAGTCTTTGGCTTCAATAGTACGCACCCCTCCCGTCGCATATGAAGGAGGTTTGTACATCTTAGCCCTTTGACAAATATCACAGAACGGATTCTTCGGCTGATGCGACATCATATGATGCAGCGACTTAGCTTCAGCTTTCAGGACTTCTATACCCCGTTTTCTCTTCTTCCCATCGCCCTCGGAATCCCCATCTGGGGCGACAGCTGCTCCGTCAGAAGCGCGAGCTGCACCCGGATCATCCTTAGGCATGTCTTCCAGATCAGAACCTTCCTCCTCGAGGATACGACCGAGGTAATCCATATCGTCTTCGTCATCATGACCACTTCCTTTCGAAGTAGATGGAGGATCAGGTTCTTTGGGTGGTTCAACTTTCTTTTCTTTTTCAGGCTTACCCTTAGTCTTAACCTTGGGCTTCGCACGTAGTTCGACCCCTTTCTCAACTGGAGGTGTTCCGGCAACAAGGTCATACAAGGAAGTTTCCTCATCACCGGGTTCGATCAAAGACGGAGCTGAGACCTTAGATGGCATGTTGAAACCATACTCTTTAAGTCTCGCAAGCTGCGTAGCATCAAGCTTGTGCACAGCACGATTCACATATGATGTGATGCTCCATCTGTCACCCTTCCAGGGACGGACGCAGTGGTACGTCTTGGGATCAAACGTAAGCATACGATGCTTGGACTTGTGAACTTTGCCTTTCAGCTTACTGCCGTCAGGCGTGCGAACAGAAGCATAATCTTTGTCCTCCCTGCTGATTTCTTCATCATGAATCCAAAGTTCGCCTCCCTCGAAGTCACCCAAACACATAGTGTTGTTCTTATGTTCACGATGATTGTGAGCATCTTTGTGCACCTTGACGCTGGACCCGTGATTGATGCACAGCGAAGAGCTGGGGCCCTTGGCACCATGATGTTTCAGATACTCATTGAGGAACTTCATCAGCTCCTTATTTTGGTGACTGCGGTTAGTGATGCCTTGCATCCCGCCGTGCGAGAAGGCTCCAAGCACAACATACTCGGACTTCTTCTTAGAGGACTTTGGATCCTTGGCGATGATAGACCTCTGCTTCTTAGAGGCCCTGAAAGCTACCTTGTTTAACAAGGAATAACATGATGCATGTGAGAAGTCGCCAGACTCTCGAAGCTTCTTTGCGATAGCCTCGGATGACTCTTCCGGCGCTGGCCTTCCGGCCGCGGAGGGGCTTTCAATGATCTGCGTCTTACTAGGACCGGACGAGGCCCGACGCGCAGGGACGCTGATGTTTTCATGCCAGGACTTCAAGTACGGCACATTATCTTTAACGTCCATGTAGACCTTCTTCCCTTAAGGTACGGTCGTGAATTAGCCCTCCAGATGAAATCGAATCCCTCTTCCATGCATCGTTGTCCTATTGAAAGGACAGATGGGGTGTCAGGAAGAACATATGGTTTGACCTCAATCCCAATGGAGTCAACAGAAACATCACACTGTTCTGAAGCGGAGTTTGGCCCATTTGCAGTCATCATTTGAATGGGCGCAGGTGACTCGTAAGCCTTCGCCTGCCCAAGCTCCCGCTGGGCGATGAGATCTTGTGCACTGCCAGTGTCAGCAATCCATTCAATGCACAAACACGGTGATTTGCTGCTGGCGGGTGCGGCACAGTTGAACTTCAAACCAATCGGAATGCAATGTTTGCATCCAAACTCAGTGTTGCACTTGAACTTACACTGCGGTCTACAGCCCTTGACCTCATCACTGACAACAGCTTGCAACATCTTAGCGGTTACCTGAGCTTCCTTCACGGAATCAGGATCGGCTTTCCAATGGCTGTTGGCGGGATATACTTGGCTATACTCCCTTGGCTTATTGCGATCATCGAGGGGGTAGAGGCCATTCCCTTTTGGAATTTGGTACGTGAAACTTTCAGTAGTGTCATTGAATGACACTGCGGCCAGTGCGACATGATAGTGCGGGGTGCAAACATCGGCATTGCTCAACATATCCTTCCGGAACGTGAATGCATCGGCTTGGGCTGCTGAGCCAGCCAACATTGCTCCCAATAAGCAAACTGCAGCGGGAACGGAGGGCGCACCACCCTTGCGACCTGAGCCACGCGAACCTTCGAGCCTTGGCTAGACTTACTTGATTTTCGGCTGCCGCTCTTTGAAGAGCTCTTGGAGCTAGATCTGGAGCCTTTGCGGCCCTTACCACTTTTCTTCTCTTTCTTCTTGTGCTTCTTTTCCTTCTTCTCGTTGCTGCTCGCTCGTGCACCTGAGCTGCCCGGGGCGGCTGCGGCAGGTTGGCCGTTGTGGAGGAAGTTGCACTTATCTCCACGATTGCAAACCCCTTGCTTGAAGAATTTGCATTCCTGCTTTTTGCCTTTACCTTTCCCTCCCGGGCTAGGGGTCCTAGTAGGCGTACGACCTCCGGCAGGAGTGTGAGAACGCCCCCTAGGCTGTTGGTGCTTGTACGGGCAATTGTCTCTCTTGCAACTTCCGGTCTTGACCCAATCAACGCAATACCCTTTGGGAATACGCTTGGGGGCCGGTGCGGCAGCAGGCGTAGTAGGTACACCTGTTTGCCGAGCAATGCGCTCGCGGTTCTTCTGCAATCGCTTGCGTTTCAGATGATTAGCAACCGCGTTATACAGGAACTGATAGGACCTTTGCTCGCTACCTTCCAGTGCGCGTTCATAGACCTGGATGTCGTGATCGATATCCTTGCACTTCTTCACCTGTCTATGGAACAGGGGTTCAAGCACGCTGTTGTCTGGAGGATTGGGAATCCCAGAGAGCACCGTATCCCAGTTTCTAACGAAGGTGGTGAGGTTTTCGTTGACCATGATGCAATTCATCAGGTCCTCCATGTCATACACCGAACCATGGAGTGCATTGGTAGCAAAGTGGTTGTGAAGACGACACAACAACTGTCTTCCTCTCACCAGCCTTCCGGCGTGAGCTTCGGTTTCCTTGAAAGTATCAGTCTGCCTAGCGAAATCACCCTCAAGGATATTGGTGAGCCCAGAAAGGATCTTGGCATCCAAGGTGCTAAACCCCTCCGGGTCGCGAAGCTCTTTCTCGTCGGCGTCCTTCTCCCAGACCTTACTGAGCCAGGCGTGCGCCTTGTCAGGCGAATCCGATGCGGCGACAATGGCTTCACGGACCCTTATGCGCCAGTTTCGGTACTGCTCAGGCTGGGGAAACTTGGGAAACACGACTTTCTCAGCCTCTTTAACCTTGGGTTTGGTACTCGAGGAACCCTTTTCTTCATCATCATCCTCTTTATCAGACTTCTTAGATTTCACCATCTTCTTAAGCATCTTGAGAAGGATCTTGTTGTCGATGGAAGAAGACGATGAATCTGACGAATCATCTTTCTTGTGCTTTTTGGATTTCTTGCTCTTTTTCTCCTTCTTACCGCTCTTTTCAGGCGCTTCAAGTGGTTCGCCAGGAGGAGTATGGATCGGAAAGGGTCCTAGACCAGGAGGCCCGGCCTGTTCCGGTTCATTGCCCAATGGGTCAGCTTTGGCTTCCGCCAAGCGTGATCTTAGCTCGGCATTGTCCTTTTGCAGCATTTCCATATTGAGGGCTTGAATCCTCATCATCTCTTGCATCTCACCTTTAAGGCGAGAGAGCTCGTTGTCACGAGCTGACACGTCGGCTTGATTAGCCTGCAACCTGCGATTAGCCTCGGTTTCCACCTGGGCGACAACATTCGCAGCTGTCTGTTCAGCGGATAGGAGGCGCTGCCTTAGCTGCTCAGCTTCAGCAGCGGCTGCTTCAGCCTCAATCTGGTACTGGGCTACGGCCTGCCGACCAGCATGGATGTTTTGATTAGCCTGTTCTTCAAAGGCTCTGGCTTTTGATTGCAACTGTGCATGCTCAAGCCTCAGCTGAGCGACTTGACTCATGGCACCTGTTTCCAAAGCGAGCATTTGCTCCCTGTTTTCGCTTTGGATGTGGCGAACGGCTTCAGCATGTCTTGCATTTGCTGTGTCCATTATCAGTGCAGGATCCGCACTGATCAGAACGTTTTGCTGATGCTGATACAACTGATTCACAACAGTTGGGACGGAGGTGTGCGTTGGAGGCACCGGAGAATAGCCTACGACTGTGGGTGAGGGCTGATGTGTCAGCGACGCTCGTGATGGCACATATGCTGGTTGAGGTCCGAGGGACCCAACATGCGAACGCAGCGTCTGCTCAGTGAGAGCTACCCGACCCTCCCGGGCGGTGACAATCGGAAGCTCTGCGCCCAGATTCGATCTCGAGCGGGCGGACTCCGTGTCGTCATCACCTAGTTCGGAGATAGGCACACCTGCAGGATTTGTTGGAGCTGTGGTGTCCATTGCACTACAAAGAGCTATACAAGCTACGGCTGATAACCTATTGTTAACAGCGGAAAGCACGCAATCCTTTTTGTACTTGAGCCAACGACAGTAGCGTAGGTAATGACTGTGACATAGATATGAATGCTGTAAAAACATTTTTCGAGTTTGGGACGTAGCTTTGGGGTCCCCTCGTCCATGCGAGCCAGAAAAGTCCTCAAGCACTGGTGGTTGCGCACGGGGAGCTGCTTGTTCTCCTCCACCTTTAGGAAATGAGGGACTCCAACTCACTATCCATATCAATATAGAGCCCTGAATTACAGGATCTTTGTTGTTAATGAGGTACCCTGCAATAGGTTTTAAGACCCTATTTTTGAAAAGCAGGATAGCTCTCGGTTTGGTGGAAGCCGAAGTTCAAGAACTCCCCCACCTTCTTCTCCACGATTCCCCAGAACCAGGTCCAGGCATTCCTGGGTGTGGAAGGGCCCCGACAATCGCTTGCAGTTCAAGCACGCCTAAGGGTTAAGGCTAGACGACTGAAGAAAGTTTTTCAAGGCTTCCAAGGAACCCGACTTTTAGATCCTAGTCCTGGGCCCTAAACCCTAATTGACACCTAGACTCTCGTCGTCCAAGCACCACTTCGTGGGCAGAAGAGACCGCAGGCTTGCAAACCTGGGCTCTTGTCAAGGATGTCTATGCAAGTAACCATATTAAGGAAACTCTCATAAATTACCATAGCAAGGAAGCTTTCATAATTTAGGGCTCCTTTCAGGGTTCTTTAAGGATTCTAGGAATCAAGTTTGAGCTACGATGATAAGGAAAGAGTATTATTTACTATAGACCCCCTTTTGGGTAACTTAAAATCATACCATGATAAGGACACAGTATCATTTACTATAAACTCGCAACGCAAACTAAGTTTCTTAACATGAACCAGAAACATTAGGGAGCGGAACTCCTTGAGATTCACCTGACAGGCTCCGGAAATCGGGCGCCAGATTGGGGGGTTGGGGGGATCGGCAGACAGAGCTCCAAAAAGTAAGGTTAGGGTTTCCGGTTTAAGGTTAAGGGTTTAGGGTTTAAGGTTAGGGTTTCGACTCGCACACTCGCTGACACGGCTTCTGAGGTCTCCTTGCCACCGTTACTACCGCTAGGGTTTCGGCGCTCACTAGGGTTTAGGGTTTAGGGTTTCGGCGCTCACACTCGGGCGATCCGGGGGCGAGGCATGGTTTCGGGTTTAAGGTTATGGGAGCTCTAGGTTTCTAAAGATACTCGGATGAAGATCTTAGCCTAGCTAGGGGCCTTAATATTCATAATAGGGTTTTGGGGTCCATTATACTATAGTTATAATCAGTATTTAGAACAGGGTTTTGGGGTCCATTATACTATAGTTATAATCAGTATTTAGAACAGGGTTTTGGGGTCCATTTACACTATATTTAAAAGAAGGAACCCCCCAAAAAATAGTATTGGTAATCGTTGAGGCCCCTCTATTTATGGAACCCCACATCTTCTCCACTTCGACCAAACCCCCCCACCTGGTCATACTTCGCCAAGGTCAGGGTCAGCACATCACAATCCTCCTGCACCCGATCGATGTTCCCTATGTAGGGAACGAGGGATTCCATGGCATAAAGCATATCGGCAAACCACATGCGGTCTCCGGTGGCCATCACGGCGGCATTGAAGCGAGCCATAGCTGCGAAAGTCTTTGGAATGTTCATGTTAGAGTTGTCTTGCCAACCTCCATGTGCCTCCTGTTCGCCCTGCTCCTGGTCTCCCTTCTCCGGGTCTTTTTCCACCTTCACCTCCTGCATCTTCTCGGCTTCCTCCCGAGGCTTCTCCTGTTCGTCTGCGCTTCCCTGTGGTGGTGTTTCTGCATGCTCCTGGGCGACCTCGTCTTCGTTGCAGTTCACCTCCTTCCAGCATGACGTCAACAGCTTCAGGCGTGAAGCATAGTGCTCGTGGGTCTTAGCCAAGGAGGTCCCCACAGCGACGACGATCTGGCCCAGGCCAAACTGAAACTCTGGAGTCATCAACCCACCAAGCTTCGAGGCACAAACTTCAAACAGGATGTTGCGGAACACCTCGATGTCGGCCGTGGTGATGTCCGCGTTCATGTGGCGCAAGGCGATGTACTCCAGGCGTTTCTGGACGAGCTTCGGCTGTCCAAGAGCCTGCAGCAGCTCAGAGATGAGATGCCACACAGTGCTGGACCTCGTGAGCATCCCCTGGGTCTTTGGCACTTCATTCATGCTTGAGTTTCCCAAAGACCTCTTCACCAGCAGATTTCGGCCCTCCCAGCCGCTTCTCGACCGTCTCCCGTCCGTTCTGAACCTCTTTGATCGTGAAGTCATCAAGCTCGATCGTGGAAAGCAACCTGCCGGCCTCCTCCATGGACTCTGAACTCAGCAAGGTGGATTTATTGCTACGATGCCACCAAAGACGGAGGAGAGTCTAGAGCCATTGCTTTAAAATGAAGCCAAGAGCCCTCACAGGCAGGGACCTGTTTAAGGTCAATCACGTGCGACTTATCAAATGGCTTCAGCCGGTTGTGGAGTTAGGAATTTGAGCTTCGTGGTAGGCAGGATGCAGAGGTGTAGGTCGGTCGGTCAGTCGGTCAGTAGGGAGGCAGGCAGTGATAGTAGGTGGTAGTGCTGGCGGTGGCGGTAGTGGAGAATTGTCCTGGTAGTGCTGGTAGCAGAGTCAGCGTAGGAGTAGAAGTAGTAGTAGTAGTAGTAGTAGTAGTAGTAGTAGTAGTAGTAGTAGTAGTAGTAGTAGTAGTAGTGGTGGTAGTAGTAGTGGTGGTAGTAGTAGTGGTGGTAGTAGTAGTGGTGGTAGTAGTAGTAGTAGAAGTAGTAGTAGTAGTAATAGTAGTAGTATAGTAGCACTACTACTACAACTACTACTACTACTACTACTACTACTACTACTACTACTACTACTACTACAACTACTACTACAACTACTACTACTACTACTACTACTACTACTACTACTACTACTACTACTACTACTACTACTACTACTACTACTACTACTACTACTACTACTACTACTACTACTACTACTACTACTACTACTACTACTACTACTACTACTACTACTACTACCACTACCACTACTACTACTACTACTACTACTTCTACTACTACTACTACTACTGCTAGTACTATACTACTACTACCGCTACTCCTACTACTACTACTACTACTACTACTACTACTCCTACGACTACGACTAAGACTAAGACTACGGCGACGACTACTACTACTTCTGCTGCTACTTCTGCTACTAGTAGAAGCTGTTGTTGGCTCCGAGCGTTGTTGGCTTGGTAGCAATAGTTTTGTTGTTGTAGTGCCTGCCGTAGTTGGCAAAATCCGGCAGCCAGCAATGGCATCGCGCCTTGCAGAATCCCCCTCCTGCTAAGAAACACTGCCCCGGTCAACACAGCTGGGGTCATAACGATGTATGAGAGGAAACTGAGAAGTCCATTGTCGTGAAACTGGCGCCCCTTCCAATGAGAAGCATAGCTGCCGTGACGGTGAGAGCAGGAAACTTTAAAACAAGCTTGATGGAGGCAATATTCTGAGCCAAGAGACTTGCCATCCTTTGATGTTGATGCGAACCGGTCCACGTTGCACATCCAGACCCCAGAAGTTGGAGACCCAATCGTCCGCGTGATCCACCTGCGAAAACCAGGAGTAGATAGAAACAGAGAGAAAAGGCCGTGGTCGTGCTGCCTGTGGTACTGCTTGTGGCGCAGGGTCGAGGACATTACTATTGGCAAAACTGCTGCAGCAGCTACCCCGACCACGAAGCAGGAAACAGTCTTGAGGAGACTACAATGGCTTGTTTCCTGTCTCACAAGCTAGGATCCTCTGCAGGGTCATTAAGTCATTAAGTACACTAGCACATTTAGTAACAAGCGATCCCAGTAATCGGTGTCAATACTTCCCGCTTTGTTTAGCTCACTTCTTCATGTCGCACATGAGCTTAAACAGCCTTCGTCCTGTTCAACAAATCTTTCGGTGGTTCCGTGCCTGCCACGTGTAAACTGTATTCTGTTTCGGCAGAAGATGACAACTTCTTGCAGTAGTGGTAGTAGTAGTAGTAGTAATAATAATAAACATAATGGTAGTAGTAGTAGTAGCAGTAGTAGCAGTAGTAGCAGTAGTAGCAGTAGTAGTAGTAGTAGTAGTAGTAGTAGTAGTGCTAGTAGTGGTGGTTTGCAGAAGTGGCAGTAGCAGCCGCAGCAGCCGCAGCAGCAGCACAAAAGGCGCAGTAGGCAGATATACACAAGGACGAAACAGGCCCACTAGCATCTGGAACACTCGCAAGAGGGTAGGCACCTCTGGTATATGCACCACCACCACGCTGGCAAGTGTCATGGCGCCTCAGAGTGCAGTTCGAAGCTTTCCTTGCGAGAGGTTCAGTATGCCTGCGACGTAGCTGGTGCTGCTCGCATGATCACCACGGCTTGCCGTGCTTGCTATTGTTGACTATGTAACAAACTGCAAAGATAGCATGGAGACGATGTGCTGCACATTCAGCAGGTGCTAGGTGTTGTGGCTGAACATCCCGGTTGCGGTTCCTGTTTACTGCCGACTCGGACGTTCCTCACTCAGCCTTTCAAGGGAAGCCGCGTTGAGAATTCAGAATTGGGCATAGCAGAAGCTATACTGAACTTAGAACCCTAGCAAAAATTACAATTTTAGCTGTTTCTTAGGGATTATAATAACCAAAAATTAAAAATTATTTCTAAGTACCCCTAAGGAAGTTCGTCAAGCATGGAATTAATGTGCCGACGGCCTGCACCAACCACGCGGATGAGATAATGAGAAAAACACGACATCACTATACACTATAGCCCATTATATGACTCCCATCATCGCCACTTGCACTTCCACTACTGCTGTGGTCGTTCGGGCAGCAGGAGCAAGAGTACTGGAAAGCTGTTGCTATTTCGCGTTGGCATCAGCATCAGTCGCAGCCGCAGTCTTGGTACGGGTCGTCGTCGGCGTAGAAGTAATTGTTGTTTGTGCTGTCGTAGTGGCAATGGGGATTTGGAGTAGGATTGGGAGTAGGAGGAGTAGAAGTAGGAGTAGTAGTGGTAGCAGTGGTCGTCGTCGTAGTAGTAGTAGTAGTAGTAGGAGTACGAGTACCAGTAGTAGCAGTAGCAGTAGTCGCAGTAGTAGCAGTAGTTGCAGTAGCAGTATGTCGTTGCTGTTGTCGCTGATGTTTCTTTGTGGGTTGTTGTTTATTGTTGTGGTGCTGTTGTTGCTGTGTTGTTGTTCATCATGTTTGTTGTTTGCTGTTGTTTGTCGTTGTTTGTTGTTGTTTGTTGTTGTTGTTCATTGGCTGCTGGTGATTGTTGGTTGCTTGTTGTTTGCTGGTTGCTGTTTGTTGTGTTTTGTTTCTTGCTGTTCTTGTTGTGGTTGTTTCTTGTGGTGGTGCAGTTCTAGTAGCACTACAGTAGCAGTAGCATTAGGAGAAGCAGGTGCAGGAGCAAGACATAGCCGCAGCAGAGACAGCAACGGTGGTGACTGAAGAACAATTGGAGTGGCAGCATCTCCTCTGGCGGGAGCAACAGCTATACCCGTCCAGCAACCAACACCAACAGCAACGTGATCCGAGCAGAGGGTCCAATGCACAGGAAGGTGTAGAAGGAAGCTTTCCAGAACGTGTCTGCGAGCACGATGATCCTGAGCAATTTACATCAGGGCGATCATACTTTGCTGTCAACAGTTCGTGTCCCTAAGCCCCAAGCCCTAAACCCTAAGGCCCGTACCCTAGGAGCCTACATTACCAATAGCTATTTTGGGGATTCCCGATTATAATTTAGGTATAAGAAACCCCAAAACCCTATTCTAATTGTTATGGCCCTTCGATTATAGAACCCTGCTATCGATCCCTTATAGCCCCCTTCAAGGATCCCTTTAAAGGAACCCTATTCCAATTACTCAGGCCCCTATATTGGCCCAAGCCTTAAGCCACAAGCCTTGAACAGCTGAAATACTTGACCAAGAGGCGCCAGGCTTACCAACTGATAGGGTTCCGAGTTAAGGGTTTAGTGTTCCGAATTTAGGGTTTAGGGCTCCGAATTTAGGGTTTAGGGTTCCGAATTTCGGGTTAGGGTTCCGAAGTTAGGGTTTAGGGTTCCGAGTTTAGGGTTTAGGGTTCCGAGTTTAAGGTTTCGGGTTCCGAGTTTCGGCGCTCACACTCGGACAATCCAGGCGAACCTTTCCGAGTTTAGGGTTTAGGAGCCCAGACAAGGGAAAGATGAGCTCAAGGTTCTACTATGCTGATGCAATGCAATGACAATACTATTGCCACTACAGTGGTCGTTGATACACCAATAACAAACGACAACCATGACGGGACGTACACATCGAGCTCAACCAAACCCTTTTATCAGCATGGCCTTGGATTGTGTACCAGCAGGCACCCTAAACCTGTAACCTTGAACAGTTCCAATTGCCAGCAAAGGCCGTGGATGTAAACATGATTATCACATAGAGCGCTTAAGTGTTAAAACCTGGTACAGCCCTGTCGAAGCCGAGTGCATATTCGCAGGGGTCCCTTTCGAAACATGAGTGACTCATGACTCGAAGGCCAACGCATCGTACACATACATATGTAAGTATATATATATATGTATATAAATAATATGTATAAATAAATAAATATCTATATATATATATGTGTGTGTGTGTATGTCTATGTATGTGATAATATTATGTTGATTATATTAAGAAGACCAAGGCCATGGGCACCTTCTTTCGCCCCTTAGCTTGCCGCTCTCAGAGCCGGTTCGCCTGCTATGCAGGGGCCTTAACAATCCTTGTGCTCATTATGTATATTACGCTCTCGCAACTCGGACAAGCCAGACGAGGTTCGTGGTGCTCATTATGTATATTAGGGTTTAGGGTTATAGCACAACATCTCCCTGTAATCCTCGTAAAAAAAAGAAGAAAGAGCCGTTCTTCTTAATTCCGAACTGGAAGCCCTCCAAGACAGAAGCGACCGTTCGTTCGGACCGTTCGGGACCTGCAAAGCGAGAAACCCCAAAAGTCGAAACTCGAAACCAGAGACATCCTGACTCCTGGAGTCCGAGGGCCCTCAGTTCGTAAAGATCCCGGATGACAGCTGAGCGGCTTGGTGGGGATTGATAGGCTGTTGGACAAGAACATCAGCCGGAAGACCATCCCAGTCACGCCTCACTCTTGACCGGTTGAAGGTTTCAGCTCAATGCGAAGTTATACGTTAGTTAGAGACGCTTGCAGCACTGAGGACAGGGCGGTGCCAAAAAATGCAGGGAAACCCAGCAAACTGTAAAACTCTCTGCTAAACCGGCTAAGCCCTTGCAAAGCACTGTAGGGATTTTCAAAAAACCC